GGGGGGGGTGCACCCTGCCACCCGGTTCAGTGCAGCTGCTTCTAACTGCATAGGAAAGGAGGGGCCTGTTTTGCTCCCAGAACCCATCTGTGTGGAGGGGCCACCTCCCCGTGCCCAGCTGCGGGGGGGTCCCCTTTGGGCTCCAGAGACTTGGGGGTTTGTCGGCGCCCCTTGCTCCCAACCTGCAGCCACCTGCTCGCGCCAGGCTGGCGTCCCTGCCAGAACGGTCCCAGCTGCTCCGGTCACACTTCCTGTCTGCGGATCTCAGGGCGTGGTAGAGATGGGGAAACTGAGGCACAGAGCCCGGCAGGCCAAGGGCAGAGCCTGGAGCAAGACAGGCTAAAGCTGTGTCCTGTCCATTAGGCCACGCTGCCCCCCTACCGCTCTGCAGTGACCCCCCGTTCCAGTCCCCCTCCTACCCCAGCCCTGTGCAGCTGGGGCATGGCTGGCCATGCTGCCGTGCTCCAGAGGACAAAGATTGGTCCCCGCCCCCAGCTGTGGCAATAGCAGCAGATCCTGGGTGGCAGGGAGGGGCTCTGAATTCGTGTGTCTGTGACGTGTCCCCTTCAGCAGGGTCTGCGCTGCCCCCCGAAAGGCCCTGCCTGCCATGCACCAGTCACTTCTCTGTTTCTGCCTACTGCTGGGCCCTGAGCTCGAGGGGCACTTGAACTGGCAGGGGAGGCACCGCTGGGACCCTCAAGCCCCCAGGCCTGGCTGTCTCCCCCTTCCCCAGCGCCCAGCGGGCTGGGGCCAGGGCCTTGCTTGGCTCCCTCCCATTGCAGCTTCCCCAGCCGGGGCTCCCAAGGAGGGGTGTCTCCTGCCCCGACTTGCTGCCCGCAGCCCTGGAGGGTTTCTCCGAGCTCCCACCGCTGCCCTGGAGCCTCGCCAGCGCAGCCTTGGCCCTCTCCCTCCAAGGGGCCGGCTGCCCCCACCAGGCCGAGGCGCTGGTGCTGCAGCTCTACGAGGCGGTGGGGACGGACGATGCCAACGCTCTGCTCCTGGGGGTAGCGAGCCTGCCCGGAGCCCCCAAGCAGGGCGGCAGAGGCCGGGCCGCCTTGCTCTTCAATGTGGATCAGCTGGCAGGCGTGGACCCCCAGCGCTGCTCAGGGCTGGCTCGGCTCGACTCCCTGCTGCTGGGCCCAGTGGCCAGCACCCATGCC